GAGGGTGTGAGGGTGAGGCCTGAGGGGGAGGAGGATGAGGGAGGAGGTGTGAGGTGAGAGGTGAGGCTGAGCGAGAGGGGTGAGGTGAGAGGGTGAGCTGGAGGAGGGTGAGGGGTGAGGGTGAGGCTGAGCTGAGGGTGAGGTGAGGCTGAGGGTGAGGGAGGGAGTGAGGGAGGGAGTGAGGCTGAGGCTGAGGCTGAGGGGAGGGGAGGAGGTGAGGGGGTGAGGCTGAGGCTGAGGCTGAGGAGGAGCGGCGGCAGTTTCCTCGTTTGCTGTCACACAATTGACCACGTGATCGCAAATCGGCGGCAATCGAGAAAAAAGGAAAATAATTTTGATATATGTCCAAATGAAAATGTATCATTATTCGCTTTCAGTTTAATTTGAAAGAAAATCTTAATTTGTATTACAAAAGTTAATCTCCTCCTTTTTGATTGAATTTTAAAAATAAATAGAACATTATCAATTAACAATTAACGCGCTCTGACACCTCCTCCTCCACAGCCACTGCGCCATCTATTGGAGAGGAAACAATTGCTAATGCTGTTTGGGCGGTGTTTGACAGAGCACCGCTTGAAAAAGCTTCTCCCTTCCAAAAGTTTCTATGCAAGTACACGAAACAGGGAGGGACTATTCCAACACCATCACCGCTATGTAATATATCCCTCAAGGAGCTTATTCCTGAACATGAAGCATTTTTGGAGATGAAAGATGGAATTAAACCACAGATGCCAATCTTTGCAGTTCAGACACGATGGTGCTTCTGGGGGAAGGATGCTGAATATTTGTTTGAGGACTTGCCTGCTTGGCAGAATTTCTTCAAGGAATTGCATCAGAGGCCTTAGCAGTGAAAAAACTGAAATTCTCTTGAACAATAACGCTGAAGAGTTGCGAGCCAAAGCAACCTTTGTCCCAGAGCACTCATCTGAGCTCATAAAACTCAATGGAGAATGGAGCAAGAGCTCTGCTCTCAGCCTGAACCACTTGTGAAACTTATTAAAATTGCAAAAATGTACATTTGCCTACCAGTGAGCACAGATTAAGTTGAAAGGTAACTTTCTGTTTATTCAGACCTCCTCAATAATAGACAAAGCCTTACAGAAGAAAATATAAAGACTCTGCTCATGTCAAAATTTAACCTGCACTAAACTTTTGGTGGGAATTTTTTGTTTGTTTCTGTGAAGATTTGACTTTGAACATTTTAATTTCTCTGCAAACTATGTTGAAACTGCACCTTTCCATCTTTTGAAAGGCGTTATATTCTGTTTTTATTAAAGAAAACATTAAGTTTTTTCCCCAATAATTTTGGATGTGTTATTTCTTCATGTTTAGTTTTTAAAAATGAGAAGAGAAAAAAATGTAGTTTAGCAGCAAAATGCAATAAACCCGATGAAATTTTCTGCAAAATTTGCGAAGCGCTCTGCAATTTTTGGCAAATATTTCTGCACTTTTCTATTGGCCCAGATCACCACCCAGAATAACGCAACCAGTCATCTGCCTATCACTGAGATCTGACACAGATGTAGGATGTATATATTGATATTTACATAATTACAGATCCTTCAGCCCAGTCTTTCCCCATTTTATAGGATCCCAGCTTCACGGCCTGTAAAGAATCAGCTGCTCTCATTCTGGCCTCCCTTTCTGACGGTTGGTTCTGCTCTTGCTCTGAACCCACCAGTGGAAAAGGATAGCATGGTTGACAGTGTTAGAGGTTAAGAAGGACGAGGAGGCAGAGAGAGCCCTGGTCAGATGGAGGAATGACCAAGGCAGTCTTGGTACCATGAGCAGCATTGAAGCTGGATTGGAGTGCTGGACTGGGAATGCCAGAAGCAGACTCTGCCCTGCCCCCAGAAACAAGCCAGTCAGCTTTAAAAACACCACATTTTACTGGGAAAATACAGACAATACAGGAACTGGAGGAAGTCATTCAGCCCATCAAGCCTGCTCCACCATTAGCACAGGCTCTCTTGCTGCCCTCTCAAAACACTCATTTTAAACCCCTCAAATCAGATCTCCCCGCAAGGTCACATAGCCCGGCTTTCTTCGCCCTCTCATACCTCATACTCCAGCATAGGCACAACCTGTCAGGCTGCACCCCTCGCTCTCTCTGCCCAGGCTTTGCTGAGGTTAGGCCTTTGAACGGATGAGACATTAAATTGAGGTCTTCTCTGTCTGTTCATGTTAAAAATCCTGCGATGCTATTGGAAAAGAGAAGGGAGTTTATCCCAGAGCCCTGGCTGACAATCCCCCAAATAAAATTGGACGCTCAACCCAATGACTATTTGTGAAACATTTCTGTGCACAAATTGGCTACTGTGTTCCGTCCACAAAAACAGTCAGTGCTGTTTGTAGTAAACCCTGTGAAGTGCTCAGAGTTGAAGCCTGTGCATTGTCTTGGTTGCAGGGCTTGCTTCGGAAGCTGTGCTAGATGAGGAAGAAGAGTTTCTTCCTGAGGGTGTAGCTGGGCTGTGGCATCTGGGTCTTGTATTTGCCGTCCTGTTTCTCACTCACATCACGGTTTACAATCGTCAGGATGCTCAGCAAGTCGTTACTAAACAGAGATATAGAATGTTGTCACTGACAGTAGCAAGGGCTGGTCTGCCGGCCCCCTGGTAGACCAATCCCCAATTAACGCCCCTAATCCACCCGCTCAGCATCCAACCCCCCCCAACCCACACCCAGCAGCTGAACCCCCATCCAACCCACGCTCAGCAACCAACACCCCCCAACCCACCCGTTCAGCATCCCACCCAGCTGATGCCCCCTCATACCTGGGACAGTGTTGCCGGAGGTTGGCACACAGGGACTGGATGTACCAGGTGCCCTCACTCACATGCCGGAAGGAGACGTAGCCCTCTACAGTGGCCATGCCCAGCAGGAAGTCGGCCTCGTCGGGGATGATGGGGCCAGAGGAGCGCTGGGCATCCTCCTCCAGCCTGGCGGCAAGGGTGGGGGCGGGGGTCTCACAGTCTGTCTGCACCAGCACCCCATCCTGCTTCCGGCTGCCCTGGCACGCCTGGATAAAGAAAATCTTGGGTTTCTGCCGCAGTAACGGGCAGTTGGAGGCCGAGAAGAGGGTAGTGAGGGTGCGGATCCTGAGCTTGTTGCCACACGTGCCAAACACGATGCCCTTCTCTCCATGGCTCAGCACACAACACACAAAGCAGTCCCGGTCCCGCTGCATCTCTCCCTGATAATTCTGCAGTGTCTGGCACATCTCCTCACTGGTCAGGTCCCGGTAAACCTTCACTTGGAACTTCAGCCACTTGAAGATCTCCTGCAGAGAATCTGTAACACAACATCATCAATCTTACTTCTGGCATCACTGTGCTCCTCACCTTCACCGTCTCCCTCATCACCACCAACATTGTTAGCGACACACCAACCAGCACTGAGTCTGGGCACCACATGGCGATGGTGGCACCGTTGGCTGCGTGGTTCTCTTACCTTCATCACGGTCAGTGCCAATACGTGAGCGCATGTTGGTAAAGGACTGGTTATTGATGATGACGCAGTAACCTCGGGGTTCGTGATCCATTCTGTAAGCCTCTCCTGAATTCTGCTACACACAGAGGAGAGGTCAGCAATGTGGCACCATATCCACCACAGCAACCTCTGCATTCATGGGGGAAGCGCGTGTACAGTAAGGGTGTTGTACATGAGGGGGGCGGACACAGTGAGGGTGTTGTACACCAGGGGACGCGTGCACAGTGAAGGTGTTGTACACCAGGGGAGGGGGCGTATACACAAGGGGGCGTATGTACAGTGAGGCCGTTGAACACGGGTGTGTGTATAGTGAGAGTATTGTTCGTGAAGGGTGTGTGTACAGTGAGGATGTTGTACATGAGGGAGGGCGTGTACGGTGAGGGTGTTGTACAGGAGGGTTGTACAGTGAGAGTGTTGTATGCGGAGGGAGAGGAGGAGGCATAGTGAGGATGTTGTACACGAGGGGGCGCATGTACAGTGAGGATGTTGTACATGAGAGAGGGCGTGTACAATGAGGGTGTTGTGCACGAGGGGTCGCATGTACAGTGAAAGTGTTGTACACGAGGGATGTGTGTACAGTGAGGATGTTGTACACGAGGGGACGTGTGCACAGTGAGGATGTTGTACACCAGGGGAGGGGAGGGGGCATGTACACAAGGGGGCGCATGTACAGTGAGGCTGTTGAACATGGTGGGGGTGTGTACAGTGAGAGTGTTGTACATGAGGGGAGTGTGTACAGTGAGGGTGTTGTACACAAGGGGGTCGTGTACAGTGAGGATGTTGTACACGAGGGGGGGGCATGTACAGTAAGGGTGTTGTACATGAGGGGGCGCGTGTACAGTGAGGGTGTTGTACATTGGGGGAGAGGAGGAGGCATAGTGAGGATGTTGTACACGAGGGGCGCATGTACAGTGAGGATGTTGTACATGAGGGAGGGCGTGTACGGTGAGGGTGTTGTACAGGAGGGTTGTACAGTAAGCTGTTGTACGCGGAGGGAGAGGAGGAGGCATAGTGAGGATGTTGTACACGAGGGGCGCATGTACAGTGAGGATGTTGTACATGAGGGAGGGCGTGTACAGTGAGGGTGTTGTACATGGGGGGGCATATACAATGAGGGTGTTGTACACGAGGGGTCGCACGTATAGTGAGAGTGTTATACATGAGGGGGGGCATGTACAGTGAGGCTGTTGAACATGGGGGTGTGTGTACAGTGAGTGTTGTACATGAGGGGTGTGTGTACAGTGAAGATGTTGTACACTGGGGGGTGTACAGTGAGGGTGTTGTACACCGGGGGAGGGGAGGGTACATGTACAGTGAGGATTCATAGATTTCATAGAACGTTACGGCACAGAAGGAGGCCATTCGGCCCATCGGGTCTGTGCCGGCTCTTTGACAGAGCGTCACTTTCACTAACCCCAATCACCAGCTTTCTCCCCATAACCCTGCAAACCCGTCTTCCTCAGATAACTATCCAGTTCTCTCTTAAAAGCTGTTATCGAATCAGACTTCACTGCCCTTTCAGGCAGATCATTCCAAATTCGAACAACTCGCTGAGTGAAAACATTTCTTCTAACCTCTCCTCTGCTTTTTTTGGTAGATATCTTAAGACTGTGACCACGGGTCACAGACACACCTACCAGCGGAAACAGCTTTTCCCTATCTCGCCTGTCGAAACCTTTCATGATCCTGAAGACCTCTATCAGGTCCCCGCGTAACCTTCTCTGCTCTAATGGGAAAAGTCCTAACTTCTCCAGCCTGTCCTCATAGCTAAGGTTCCCCATTCCTGCTATCATTCTCGTGAATCTCCTCTGCACCCTTTCCAGTGCCTTAATGTCCTTCCTGAGGTAAGGTGCCCAGAACTGGACGCAGTACTCCAGCTGAGGCCTAACCAGTGTTTTGTACAGATTAACCATAACCTCCCTACTCTTACATTCTATGCCCCAACTAATAAAGCTCAGTACACCAAATGCCTTTTTTACTGCCTTATCTACCTGCCCCGCTACCTTTAATGATTCGCTTACTTGAACACCCAGATCTCTCTGTACGTTCACCCCCCTTAAGATTGAGCTACCAAGTCTATATTGCCTCCTATCATTTTTCCTACCTAAGTGTATCACCTCACACTTATCCACATTGAAATCCATCTGCCACATGTCAGCCCATTCCACCATTCTGTGTATGTCTGCCTGCAGTCCGTCACAATCTTCTTCACTATTTACTACCCTACCTAACTTTGTATCATCTGCAAACTTGGAAATAGTGCTCT